AAGTATATTGATGATAGACAAGGATAAGTGAAGTAGATGATAGTTAGACTTTTAATAAAGTCTCAACTATTGAAGCTGCTGAATGAATTACTGAGTGATGATAAAATGTGAGCAAGAGGGGCTCTCTGATGTCTTCTTTTTTGCTATCTAAGTACAGTGATTTATATACAGTACAGGGGTGTTTCCCTTGGAAAACAAGGTGCAAACACTTGGTAAGTGATTGGTAACTGATGAGTAAGGAATGTAAGCGATGGGTAATCATCTTGGAAAGCATTGGTAAGCATTGGTAAGGATAATCAGTAAGAAAAGTCAAAAGATTGGCAAGTATTGGCAACAGGTGAGTCAAAGACAATCAGAACATCAAAGTATGAGTCAAGTAATGTCAGGAACTGGGAAAGTGCACTGGAATCACATTAGGGGGAGGCTGTGCATGTCACATCTCAAAGAGATCACTTCTAGGCCAAGATGGGATGACAGAGAGGCAGTGCTGAACTGATGCCAACATAGTACATCCAAAAGTGGACAGGGTGAGTCAGATGTCAACAGGGGTCAAGCTTTGGGGGTCTGTGGGGTGACAGGAGCATAGGGGATCACAACTTTCCCCTCCAAACCATCCTCTCAGGGAAGCAAATGAAAACTTCATGAATGAGGCTCTGTTGGAAGAGAGGATGAAGGGGGAGCATCTTCTGCTGTATCTTGCAACAAGGAGGCAAGATGTGCATCATACTCATCATGGATGTGATCAGGGAGAGTGGAGAACAGTAGATTATACTGTAGCTGTCACAATCTTGGAAGAATGAAGGATGAGATTGGTATGAAGACATTGCAGGGAGCAGGGAGGAAGGATCCATATGCTTCTTGGACTGGAGAGACTGAAATGACCACATAAGACCTTTCCAAGTGAATGACAGACCTGAGGCAACCAAAGAACATCCTCCTAGAGGTCATACTGACAAAAAGAACATGCTGTCCAAGCTGGATGGGCTGAGAGGGCACAGATGAGGGTGGGATGTACCAGGATGCTTCAGGATGGAAGCTTGTAGGAACTCCTGGTAGATATATGTAGCCATTGTCCCTAGCAAAGGGGACAAGTGAAATGATTGATGTAGAGGTGGCCATATCAGAAGAATTTAGTGAAATGAGTGTCTTTTGGAGGGAGTGCTGTAGAAACATGTGGAGTGTGCAAATCCTTTCCAATTTTGGAAGGTGAGATTGTGTGGCTGAGCACTACAAGTGAGTGTGGGAATGGTCTCGGTATCTGCAGAAATGGTGGAGATATGTCAAAAACCAGAATGCTGTACATGGGCACTTGAGAATTTTAGCCAGCACTCAACTCACTCCCTTTCTTTTTCTCTGGCACTGATGACTTGTTCTTGTGCGAGGGATGACTTCCGACATTCCTGGCTGTCCTTCTTCACATGAGGGCTATAGTCTTCATCTCCATTCATCAGCTGTATCCATGTCCACCTCACCAACACCTTTGGTGAGTGACAGCAGATGATAGCACAGACAACATCATGGATGACAGTTTGGATGATCACAGTGAGGCTGAGGTGAGTGATGTTGGAACAGATGGTCCCTCTGCTAAAAAGGTGTGCCATGTGTGATTTTCATGCATGACAGCTCAGCACTAATGCAATTCTGGTCTTCAGGTATCTGGTGGGAGGCAAAACCATGCCAAGACACCATTCCCTTCTCATTCCCACTCAAATCCCCCACCATCTGATGGTTCCCATAGTGAGCAGCTCTCTGCACCTCCAGCCCATGCAAAGACCCCAGTGCATCATCTGTGAAATAAAGCACTAACTGACTATAATGGGCAGGAAAGCAATGGCCACAATTCCAATGATGAAGCTGATGAAGACACTTATTTGCCCACCCTATCCAATTCAAAGAAAATGGCAACATCCCTGAATAGTGAGCTTCCTGCTGTAACTTGTATTCACAGCAAACCCTGATCTGCACTCAGGGAATGAGTACACAACTGAACTACAGGACCACTCAGAATATGCAGATGAAGATGGATTGGAGAGCATTCCTTTCACTGACCACCCAACTGAGGAGGGGTCAATGAGCAGAAAAAAAGGTGGAAAGCTGAAATCTGCCCTGAAGTGCATACACCAGGCAAGTTCAGTCATGTTGAATCAGCTGTTATGGCTAACAAGTTTGTGCTGCATATTAAGCAGGCTCTGTCAGAATCTAGTGAGCCAGACATGAATCAATGTTGACCTGGGGCCAAATACTCATCCAAGTCCAACCATAATGGATCTGTGACCACCAATGCAGCATCTGTGAATGTGAAACATGGGGTCCCTGGGAGCACCTGGAAGTCACCTTGTGTCAGAAAGGCCCCTGCAAGGCCAGATGCAGATGTTCCATCTCCTGATGCAAAGAGATTGTGCAAGCAAACAGGCAGCAATCAGAAGCAGAAGTAGTTGTTGAATCCCTCAAACAGTCAGAGCAGAAACCTTTTTTGGAACTCATGTATGGTCTATAGAGGGCTCTATCTATGTAGGGAGATATTTCTGCTCATCTCCCATGTATTGCTGTTACCCAAAATTTGGCTCCATCTGCCATTGTCCAACCTTGCTTCCCATGGTGTGAATGATATTCTTGCCATTGTTCCTACAAGTTTAAATCTTGATTGATCATCAACCTATCAGTGAACCCATCATTGTCAAATATGTCCACTGAACAGTCCTGCCAAGTTCATTTCCATCATCAAGGTGAGGTTGTCTTCATTGTTGGATCCAGCGACCTAAGCCATCCACAGCTAATGTAAGACCAATTGAGCCAAGGCAATCTAGCTCCCAAATGAAGCAGTCCAAAAATCTGGAGGAGACACTAGTACAACTGCATGAGTTGTGAGAGCCAACCCCTCCACCAATTGTCTCAAGTGGAAGGGCAGATATGGTGGGGTTGAACATGGATATCATGGCTGGTGAGTGAACATGATTTCTCTCCAAGCTAAACAACAAAAATTCTTTCACTATAGATTCATGCAAAAGCTTGGTGGATCAGTTCCTGCAGGAAAGGGAGCCAACTGCTCTGGCAGAGGGCAGAATCGTGGCCAGTGAGTTGGCACGATTGCCCTTCAAGCTAACAAACAAACTAATTTTCTAATAATAGATCCACATGACAACTTGATGAATCAGTTCCTGAATGAACAGGAACCAACTGCTCCCCCAGCAGATGGTATGAACATGGATCTACTTGAGCAATTGCTGAATGCACAGGAACCATTGGCACTGCCAGTCACACATGAGAAATTAAACAGGATGGATGGGTCTTCAACACCTGCACAAGACATTACTATGCAGGTTGATTTTCTAGCAGACTTGCAGAATGTGTGGGAACCATCTCCTCTGCCCATCACCTGTGAATCATCAAATCTGAGGGACCAATCTCCTTGACCTGATTCTCCAACTAACTTGCTTGCTCAATTGCAGGATATGAGGGAACCAACACCTCCCCCACTCATTTCAAATGTACCTGTTGAATCTTTTGACTTGGCAGCAGATGAGGACAATGGTGCAAACTGTTTGACTTTTGGCATGCCTGAATGATCAGAGATGAGGGATCTTTTTGAGGAAATATGCAACAGTGAGCATTTATTTGGTTCTATTCATGTGATCAGTGATATCCATTGATTATGTAGGTGAACTTCCATCTGCACAGTAATCTCTTCAAATGGAACAATGGGGATTGGCACCTGTTCCACAATGTGATCAAGGTATGGGCATGAGCTTAATCTGATATGCCTTTGACATTGATAATTTTAGTCCTGCACACCTTACATGCTGCGGTATCTCACTATTGCAGAAACACCACTCCCAGCAACATGCCATTCAATCCCACCCTTGATAGGCACCTTGTGCAAGGCTGTGAATGCCATTGTGAGAGAATTAGGGCACAGCTGCAAGGGACCAGTATGGTGCAGCCTCTCAGGGCCTTTGACTCGTCAATATGCTTGATTTGATGGAAGTCATTTGTTATCTGTGTTCTGCCTTTGAAAATTGTCCTGAGCCATTCATCACCAGCCAATCACACCCATCTTGCCAGTCTGTGGTAGAGATGGGTATCCTCTACTTGGTGTGCTGGATCGAGGTGGCCTCTGTACATCTGAAACAGACTGCCAATATCATGGGATGGCCTGCACATTGGTTTGCAAACCTAGCAATAGACTTGGTAGGTTTTACATCAATTTTTCACAATGTGGGACTGATACATAATTCCTTCAGAATCAGCTTAATCGCTTGATTCTGGTAATGGTGTTGCATGCCAGTCATACTCCTCCCCTCCCAGCATGCTACCATGCATACCTCAGACACCAAGATGATGAGGTTAGCTTCCACGATCAAATGCAGCTAATTCCCCTTAGTGCATTTAGCATAATCAACAATATCAGTGCCATCATCCCACATTGGACCCTGCATGCAGCTGATCCCAATTCTGGCTTTGCATTCCCTTGGTGGCTATATCATTCTGAGGAATATGCAGCAGATTCCCAAAGATTGCAAGGCAAAGGATTGTTTTCCATGGCCTGGGATTTTTTTAAGGTATGCCACTTATTCTCATCACTGCAAATAGTTGATGATGGCCCAGGGCTTATGGCCATTGCCTGAGGCACCAATCGCAGACTGTCTTGATGGCCATATCAAGGAGCAGGTAAACTACTGCATTGAAAATATTTGGAAATATGCTGATGTTGTCAACAGTCAGGGTTGACAAATTGACCATTTCTATGCTAGGTGGTGGGCATTGTGCAGGTTGTTGGGCATGCTGCTTCAATGGTTTACATGTTTTTGACTGTGGAGTTGGTTGAATATACATTGCTGTAAATGTTGATCATTTATGAGATGCCACCCATTTTCATGATGTCTGAACCCCTGCCCATCTGTGCAATGTCTGACAATCTGCCCATCTGCATGATGGCCTGAGTAGGTTTATTTTTTTGCAGTTTATGATGCACACCCTTTAGCTCTGAGTACCTGCCCAATCTATGATGTCAAAGCACCTGCCCATTCGCAAAATCTTGGCAACACCACCCATCCAAAGTTCAAGAGCCAGCATATCCTAATAAAATATGAGATCTGCATTGCCTACTAAATCTTACATTAAATTTTGCAGCTTCAAATCAACAGTTGTCCAGTTGCAACTGGTCTAGGTAGTAGGTCATCCATGCATGGTGATTGACACATGGGAACATGCACCAACTTATGTACATTGACATGCATGTAGTATGCCAGGCATGCTCTGTCACCATCTATGGCTCCCACCCCATGCTCCAGTGCTGAACCTGAAAATGCAATGATCATCCCTGGGTTAAAGCACAGCCAGGATTCAACATTGGAATGACAAAGTCCAAGGGTGGGTAGTCACCCATGGTTACCAGCATGTCATACCATGGATCCCATCCATTGATATCCCTGTGGTAACAAGTTGCCCAATTCACCATCATGGACATGCTGCTATATGTGGAGCTCCATATTGGCAGTATGGAGCTCATATCTGAATCTGCCCACTGTTCCACCTGTTTGCCAAGGTAGATCAATGCTTCCCTGCCATCTGCATACATTCATGGATGGATGACATGCAGGATCACAGATAACAGGGCATTGGTGTCAGACATTTGGTCAACCCATTCCCTTGTAGAAGTGTTTTCCATCCTGGATTTGAGCAGCTGTGAGGCTTCTGGGAAGCCATTTTGGGGCTTCAAGACAGATGAGTGTGCATTATTCACAAGGAAAGAAATGATCACCCCCCCCATGACCCTGTTGAAACCATGTGGGTGACAGGTTGATGGCACCTTTCAACTCAGCATTATCGTGGAAATATGACTTGTCCATCCACCATGCCTGTGGGGAAGCCTTTATGTGCTCCCACATTGGTTCCCTCAGAAGATGAAGGCAGTTCCATACATCAGCCTGCCATTGCATTAAGTCAGTAGAATATAAGATTCTGCATTCCCTTACCCTTCTTTTTGGGCTGAGAGCATCTGGCAAATACCAAATGCAGATGGTGTTTGAGTCAGTCACCAGAATGGACAGCTCAGTCACTTCCATGTATCTCTCAGCAGCTTCTGCATTGCAGGTTTTTTCACCCTGATTTTTCCCAACATTGACTGCAGAAAGATGAAAACTTCCATCACACCATTATGATGGACTTACTTGGGTGATGATAGGCCTGTGAGATTACTGATGATATGTGATCCACTTCACATAACACTGGAAATGGAATTGATATATCTGGAAGGGTGCAAGGTCTGCTGAATACCTGCTCTTGAAATCTGGCTTTCATGTATGATGCAATGCAGTCTGTTAGTTCCATTTGCCATCCATGGGGGGTTTTAGATGTGTCTTACATAGTATTCATGGTTGGGGTGGATGAGGTCAGAGTTGTATAGTGGGTGAGCCACTTGCAACTTGTTGGAAAATTATGGCATGTTGGGATGCTTGCCTCAATATTTTGCTGTGATCTGATCAATATGTTGTGATGCTATACATGCTATTGGTGTTGGGCCTGTCTTATGTTGCAACAGGGGTGGATCTTACTAGATGGACCCATCCTTGTTTTATGGCAATATAAAAGATATTACTGAAGGGCCCATCCACACATTATGACCATATAAATAATACTGCTGAAGGGCCCTTCCATATGTTGTGATGCTATAAATGATATTACTGATGGGCCTGTCTTTATGTTGTGACAGGGGTGCATCTTACTAGACAGGCCTGTCTATGTGCTGTAATGCTGTAAATGATATTACTGATGGGGCCATCTTTATGTTGTGACAGGCATACATGTTGCTATTGATGGGCCTGTCCATGTGTTGTGACCGTGTAATTGATATTACTGATGGGCCCATCTATGTGTTGTGACACTGTAAATGATATTACTGATGGGCCCATCTTTATGTTGCAACAGGCATATGTGTTGCTATTGATGGGCCCACCCATGTGTTGTGACCATGTAATTGATATTGCTGAAAGGCCTGTCTTTATGTTGTGACATGGGTGCATCTTACTAGATGGGCCCATCTATGTGTTGTGACACTGTAAATGATATTACTGATGGGCCCATCTTTATGTTGCAACAGGCATATGTGTTGCTATTGATGGGCCCACCCATGTGTTGTGACCATGTAATTGATATTGCTGAAAGGCCTGTCTTTATGTTGTGACATGGGTGCATCTTACTAGATGGGCCCATCTATGTGTTGTGACACTGTAAATGATATTACTGATGGGCCCATCTTTATGTTGCAACAGGCACACATGTTGCTATTGATGGGCCCATCCATGTGTTGTGACCATGTGATTGATACTGCTAATGGGCCCATCTATGTGTTGTGACACTGTAAATGATATTACTGACAGGCCCATCTTTATGTTGTGGCAGGGATGCATCTTACTAGATGGGCCTGTCTATGTGTTGTGACACTGTCAATGATATTACTGATGGGCCCATCCTTATGTTGCAACAGGTGTACATCTTGCTATGGATGGGCCTGTCTAGATGTTGCGAACACCATAAATGATATTACTCCCAGGCCCATCCATATGTTACCAACTCTGTAATCTATCATAGATGGGCCCCTCTTTATGTTGTGACCCTATAAAGCATATGATGGGTGGGCCTGTCCATATGTTGTGACCTTCTTCATGATACAATAGGCAGGCCCATCCATGTCTTACAGTAGCTTAGCATACTTACTTGGTCATGGGCCTGTCTATATGTTGCAGCATCCTTACCCTCCACAGGCCCTCCCATATGTTGTGGAATTGCATTTACAGGCCCATATGTATGTTGCTCTCACTATAGGCCCTCAGGCCTGTCCATGTGTCATGGCTAATCTATTTAGATGGGCCTGTTGCAGGGTCTATATAAGTGTTGGCATTTTGGCATGCAGGCTACCTATATGTTGTGACTAAATGGACTACATGGGGTCCACAACCCACCTGCAGTCATCGCTCAGAGGGTTTGCATGCTGAGGAGAGTAATGAGGATCTGCTGAGTGAGAATTTCTAGTATTAATGGGCTGTTATCTATGCTTTACCATTTCTATGTTAACCTATGCATTGATTTATGTATACATGCAAGCTATGTGTTTTTTATGTGCAGGGTGAACGAGCATACTGTGATTGGGTGAAATCAGGAGCATGATGGGTGGCCCAAATTGACAGCTCTGGAAATTGTGTCAGCCTCATATAACATTTGGAGCAGGCACATCTGTTGTCAATATCTGTCAAACACAATCTGTATGTTGAAGTGTCTGGTCACAATTTTCTAGGTGTCAGGCTTGTGTCACTGTCAATGCAATCCTGATCATGTCTACAGGGTGGCCATGTATGTTACATCTGTAAACAAGGTGCCTGCCATCCCTGATGGCCCTATCTTCTAGTATGTATGTGACTGTCAAATAGTCAACCAACCCCAACACATCATGTGATTCATGTGATATGCTGGCAGCTTCCCTACATGGAAATTAGTGTTGCTGCAAAGTGAACTGAGGCAAAATATTAGACCAATTCGATCCAACTTCAATATGTTGAAGTGAGTTTGGATGAGTTCAATGAGGCCACAAATTTCTGACAAGATTTGTTGCCCTAGAGGGGGTCCATGATGATGGTCACAGATGCTAATGGTATCAGTGGTTTCCAGTGACATAGAACACAGTCCATGTCTGAGTAAGTGAAGTGGGTTGTGTGTCTTGCCTTAGCACACTTCGCCATGGGCAAACTTGCACATCCAGCCCTCCATTCAGTATCCTCTGCACCTTTTTCACACCCACCTTCCTAGATCTCCCTCTCTCAGGTCTAGTAGACAACCTTCAATTTTGCCTGTGGGCAAATTGCTGGCATCTGAATCTCCGAGTGAAGAGCAGACCTGTTTAGTACCAATCCCACCCTCACAGCTCACTTTTCACCCTTAGAATCCAGCATCTCCTCTGGACTGGAAAACCCATCAGGTTTTCGCCCATTCCCTTAGTTACCCTTCACATATTCTCTCTGCCTATGAAGTCCATGTGTCTACCCAGTAGCACACACACACCTTCCCTCTCATCACTAGCAAATGAATATTGCAATGCCCCACTATGATGACTTTCTCAGAGCCCCATGTGACCAGAGCTATTGGTCCGGTATGATCAGCCTAATGGCATCCAGGAACAGTATCGACACTTCAGGGATTATGTTCAGTTATCCCATAAAATATACAAGCTGTGTCAGGGGCGCCCCAAAAAGGGTTAGCAGGGGATTGCGCACCCCCCAGCAGCATTCCATCCAGTTCCGAAGGGGGCAGCATTATGTAAGCAACCGAGTTTGGCATATGGGACGCTGTTTGCACAATTGCGAGGTCATGAATGCATGTAGGGCACAAGTGCGAGAGGCGGGCAGCTATGCATGCACACGGTGCCTTCCCCCATTGCATCTGCACGTTTTTCCTGGGGTCTGAACAGTGTGATTGTGTAGTACTAGCATTCAGTATCTCTGGTATTGTTTCTGTCGCCCCCCCTGCATATAGATTAGCATGTCCCACTTCGGCCCTGGGCTGTTCACAAGGTATTTGCTTGTGTAGCTACATACATATCATAATGTATCCTCACAGATTTGGACAGAGCTTGCCATGTGCACCAGTGCAAAGTGCAGGTGTAAGCCTGTATGTGCTGCAGGGCTGCGACTGTGGCAGGCAATGTGGAGGGGTGGGATATGGCTTTGTAGCCAGGGACTGGGGGAGCTGACAGGTCCCCAACTCCCTCCCAGCAGCATAGACCTTTGCTTATTGCAAAATAACCAATGTTTATGCCAAACATTGTATATTTTACACCTTGGTATGGCACTCGCCACTTATTTCCAACTTATCCCTGCCATTCCGTGCACTTTACACACTTTGTAGTCCACTCTTTCTGTAGTCATTTGTAGCCCTTTGGCCTCTACAACATAGTGTGTCCGCCAACTAATAGACCTTCCAGATCCAGTAAGCTTACTAAGCCATCAGTGTTGGGCTCGTCACTGCCCATCCACCTGTGGCACTATGTGCATGTCCACATTTGTGCTCAACATGTCATATTTCATCAGTGTAGGTGTGTGCCATCAATGTCCACACTCATGCTCAACCTGTTTCCTGCCAGCTCTTCCCCATTGCCCTGTGGCATACACACTCTCTGACCACACATATCCCCTCCCAACATTCTGGCTCACTTTGGAGTGCATACCCATCCTGCTGTCAAAGACAAAGATGTTTGCATTTGTGTTCGCTCCAAATGGTGATTGGTGGGTGAATTTTCACCCCCCATCCTTTGTTTTGTGCACTCACTGAGTCATCGAAGACACAGATGCTTTCTACTCACTTTGCCCACTGATCAGTAGACTGTGCCTGCCCCATCATTGAACATAAAGGCATTTGCATTTGCTCTGCCCACCAATCAGTAGGTGATTTTTGGCCCCTGACCTTTGTTTTGGGCACTCACCTGGTTGTTGAAGATGACAATGTCCACACTCGCTTTTCCCACTGATCAGCAGATGGTTTTTGGGCCCCACCCTGTCGTTGAAGATGAGGTGTGTTTGTGTTCCCTCCATGCACACCGATCAGTAGGTGATTAGACATCCATGCTTGCTTTGCCCACTGATTGGTGAATGATTTTTGAGCCCCCACCCTGTCCTCAAAGATGAAGACATTCACATATGTTCTGCCCACCAATCATGTTGGGTGAATTTTTGCCCCTCCCCCCACTGAGGTCATCAAAGACAAAGATGTTTGTGTTTGCATTCAGTGTTCACTCCACCCATCAATTGGTAGGTGATTTTTGGCCCTCCACCTCTGATCTGTGCACTCACTGTATCCTCGAAGACACAGAGTTCATGCTCACCCCACCCACCGATTCATAGATGATCTCTGGGCCCCTGCCCTTGTTTTGCATGCACACCTCATTGTTGTTGGAGATGAGGATGGCTGGTCTTGCACACATGATTCACACCATGTGCCTGGACATTGGCCACACTGATGAATGTGTGCACAATGCCACTGCCTGTGCCTTTTCTGTTGTTGTGCCTGCACTGGGTATCCCAGCATTGCTTCCCTTCCTCAAGCTGATTCACCATACTACATGAGAAGTCATGGTGGGCTTGTCACACAGGTGTCCATATCATTCAGCAGATTGCCATCCTGATTGGCTGTGCTGTCCTTCCAAAGTCATTGACTGCATCCTATACAAACTCAACAACCTTGTCCAGCCCTATGTTCATAAAATTCTAATCATCATCGAGCTGCTCTTGTAGATGAAGACTGCTATGCTCACTTTGACAGCCATGAGATCATTTCCAAGCCTCACACACACAATTTCCACCATGCATCTGGACATTGACCATGCCAATGAATGTGTGTGCAGTACCACTGGCTGTGTGTTTTCCACTGTCACACCTGCATGGGGCATCCCAGTGTTGCTTCCCTTCCTCAAGGCAGTTTGTCATATGACACAAGAAGTTGTGGCAGGCCTGTCACACAGGCATCTGTATCGTTCAGCAGACTGCCATCCTTCCAAAGTCATCAACCACATCCTATACAAACTCAACAGCCTTGTCAGGCCCCATGTTCATAAAATCCTAGTCGTTATCGAGCTGCTCCTTATAGATGAGGACTACTATGCTTGTGTTGGAGGCCATGAGGTCATTTCCAACCTCATGAAAAGTGGCCAGGCCTCTCACACACATGGTTTCCACCATCCATCTGGACATTGACTGTGCTGATGAATATGTGTGCAATACCACAGCCTGTGCCTTTTCTGTTGTTGCACCTGCACTAGGCATCCCAACATTGCTTCCCTTCCTCAAGGCCATTTTTCATAGCCAGAAGTTGTGGCAGGCTCATCATGTGGGTGTCCATATCATTCAGCAGATTGCTGTCATGATGGGCTGTGCCATCCTTCCCCACTTGTGCAGCCTTGTCAGCTGTGTTGCTTGTGGTCTCACAGACAAACAGCAGAAAATGCAGACAGTGACTGTGCTTGCTACTGCTACCCTAGCTGAAGTGGCTGCACCCTATGGAATCGAGTCTTCCAATGAGGTTCTATGGCCACTGTGGCTCGGTATTCACCAGCATTGCAGAAAGGGACTTGCTGCCTTCTTGAAGGTGATTGGTTTCATCATTCCTCTCATGGACCCAGAATATGCTTTGTACTACATGAAGGAGGTCATGGTCATCTTGATCCATGAATTCCAGATGTCAGATGAAGAGATGAAGAAGATTGTCTTGAAGGTCATTAAGCAATGTGCTGCCACCAATGGTGTAACTGCTCAATACATTAAGCAGGACATTCTTCTAGATTTCTTCAAGTCATTCTGGGTCTGTCACATGGTGCTGGACAGGCAAAACTATCATCAAATGGATGCAAAGAGCTGGGGTCTCTGAGATCACAGGGAGGATCATGAACGAGTTGAAAGACAAAGCAGAGCCATACTGTAAAATGGTCATGGAGACTATCACGAAAGTCATTGCCACTCTTGGTGACTCTGATATTGACAAACATTTGGAGGTCTGTCTGGTCGATGGCATCACATGCTCCTTCCAGGAGCAGACTACAGAAGGCCAAGTCATGCTGGATGGGTTTGGCACTGTTGTTGATGCTCTAGGTATCTGTGTCAAACTGTACCTTACACAGATCATCTCTACTATCCTCTGGCAGCATTGAACAACAAAAGCACCAAAGTTTGTCAACAGACCACTGATCCCACCATGCAACTCGCTATAATCATCATCAAGCAATGTGATGAGGACCAGCTTTTGAGCAAGCTTGGACTTGTCTTGTTTGAACAACTTGGAGAGGAGTACCCTGGCATGCTTGGTAGTATCATTGCCACTGAGGGTGCTATCTCAAATGCAGTCGATATGACACAAATGAACCTCCCCTCCCCCCCCTGGTGAAAGATCTTTGCAAGTATTTATTACCTCTTGATTACTCAACATCTGACCCAACATATAGTTCTTCAAATGACCCCCATTCTTCATAGCCATCATGAGAAGGCCCAAGAGGCATCTATGAACTTGATTGGTCATATCATGGATTGTGGTGCCAAGTTCATTCCAGCCCAAGAATGGATGGGTATCTGCTTCAAGTCATTGGATCTCTTGAAAGCCCACAAGAAAGCTGTTTGTCATGCTGCTGTGGACTCATTCAGATACATTGCAAAGAGCTTGGGTCCTCAAGATGTGCTGCTCTTGCTTCCAGTTCTCCTGTGTGCAGTATGGTTGCGATTGCCATCTGGGCATGAGCCCTCAACAAATACAGGATGGCTGAGTCAAACATCTGTGCTGGACATCTCAACACACTGATTGCCCCTTGTAGGTGCATGGAAATGGAAATGGCAATGCCTTGTTCAGTGCCAAATGACCCATCCATATATGTATTTAATATCTCCATGTGAGCCCCTTCTGCTTCACCCCAAGCTTGAGGGCCTCTGCCCCATGATCAACTGAATTATGAATTACAAGATGGAGACACCATAGTGGCAGCACTGGTTGTACATATGTTCACTATCCATTTCATCCATGTAATGTGTGTAGTGTGCTATGCATCCCCATAGTTGTGTGGGCCTGTGGTGTGGCTGCAACTAGTTACCTGACTTGAACCCTTCAGGCATGACCTCTGCTCTGGCCTTCAGCACTCAGTGCCTGGCTGTGATGCAGCTCCTTCTAAACCCCTGGCTTATCCCAGAAAATATATCTGACCTGATGGGTTGAAATCAAGAGTTGAAGAAGGCTCTGGTGGTGTTGCAGTCACCACAGAAGAAGTCAAGTTGGAAGAGGCAGACCCCTGCAGTCAACACCAACACTGCTGCAGCCATGTCTCTGAAGGACATCAACCAGCTGAAAGAGCAGGGGAAGCAGATGCACCTCAAGGCAGCAAGAACAGGAACTGCCCATGCTGCACATGTCTGCCAAGGTCAAGAGTGGCTCAGCAGCTTTGCTGCCTCCAGAATGGAGAGCCAGCCTGAGGATGCTGGCCCAGCCCTGACTCCCATGGCACCCAATGACCCATACAGCAACCCAGAGTTCAGAACAGCCTTTGAGAGCACACCAAACAGCTGCTCTGACAAGACATTGGCCTTGTACATGATGTGGAAGGGATTCCATGAGAATTTATGCAAGAGCACTGTGGAGAGCATCAGGGCAGCATTCAAAGACATTTGGGCAAATGTGTAAGCAGACCTTTGTCCCAGTGTTCAGACAGCCAGTGGGTGTGCAGACCACTGACTGGGCATTGGTGGATACTGTGCCATTGCCATCTAACAGGGACAGAAATACCTTTCAAGGCAAGTGGGGTTCAATGAGGCGAGGCAGCACTGGGAGGGGAACCCGGCAGAATCAGCTGATGTTCAAGACGTCCTGACTTCAATCAAGCACAAGGCAAGTGTGGAAGCAGGCAATCACAAGCACTCACTGCCCATCACACAGGATCATTTGGATTGGATGTTGCAGTGGGCATGCACAGTGTGCCCTGACCTTGATTTTGCCTTGAGTGTCCTTCAAATGACTTTCAGCATACCTGGCAGTGGGCCTGCACAACAGCCACTGTTGGAACTTCTTGGTCTCAAGGTGTGGACACTGGTGACACACCACCTTGAGCAACTCACATTTGCATCCACAGCATGGACACTATGGACAAGGTCAGTGAGGTGACTCCATTGTGGAGCATATTGTGTGACCCCCATCTGAGAGATACACACAGTCACACAGGTGCTATGAGCTGATCCAACTCAAGTGGAGGCACATCACAATCAACTGCATGATGGTGGACCACACACTGGAAAAGTACCTTGGAAATGAGCCACTGATGCTGTCCAACAGGTCTGTCTACTTTGAGGTCTACCTAGCAAACCAAAAGGGGTGGCAGTGCAAGGTTGACAAGGGGATGACCAAGGCTGATCTGTGCAGTGAGTCCACCATTAGCCTGATCGCCTCATTGGTAATGCACACAATGAGGCTGTGAGCAAGCTGACATTGAACTGAGCATGCATTTCCCTGCAGGCAACCAGTATAAAATCTTCCCCCAGCCTGAGCTCCCAGGAGCCAACTGCCTCCTGTGGCTGCCACTCTGGGTACACTGGCTTGAACATGTCCACTACCAACAACCACTTGACCCTGATGACAACATCTTCCCTGCGATGGGGGCTAATGGTGTTGTACAGCCCCACAAACCAATCTTGCATGATGCCATGCAACAGTGGATCAACAAAGCAATGACTGGCATGGGAATTCAAGGCTCCTTCTCGACCCATTGCTTTCAATGGGGTGGAGCACAGTACAGGTTTATGCTGGCCCCTGTTGGCGAGCACTGGTCCCTCAGAAAGGTCCACTGGTGGGGGGGCTGGGCTGAGGGGGAGCATGTAAGTGCCAAGTTCAAGTGTCCCATCATTCATAGCGTTGACCTGGATGCTTCACACCTGGTACTGTACTACTGACCTGCTCTGACATGGCCTCCAGCATAACACCCTCATCCAATACCTCCTAGATGAGCTTTACTGTTATGAGACAGACTACAGTGATGTGCTTGCTCCAATTGTACAGGATGTGCAGGATTCTCTGGTAGGCAAATCTGCCCTCATGCAACCTGTCACTGCAGAGGAGGTTCACACAGTCCATGTGTCCATCACCTCCAACATTCATGGCCTGTGGACCAGGATGGGGCAGGTCAGTGAGTCCATTCATGAGCTTGCCACTGTCATTCACCAAGGTATGGCTGGTGCTCTGTGGCAGCCTTGCACTGGATCTACAACTCATGGTAGCTATGCTAGTGTACCCCATTCCATTGCACCACCCTCACAGTCACAGCTGCTGCATGGGCATTCCAGCTTGATCACACCCACACCTGTCCCCTAGCTGGCACAGGCCTCTGCCCCGGTCCTGCCAGTGGGCCCAATGGCCTGAGTCCCTGCAAATTGCATTGTCACTGCTGGTGCTGGCCCAAGCCAGACAGCAAGCTGCCATGACTACCCTGTCATCCCCCTTGCCAAGCAGCCACCACTCTCTGGGCTCAGGATTCCAAACATACCCATCAAGCTGCTGGATGGCTCATGATGTCCCAGAAGGGACTCCTGGCAGGACATCATCACCCATTTGTTCATCAGCAATCCCCCACATGGCCTGAGTGTCCCATTGAAGGACTGGCCTGCAGACTGGTACCAGGGCCACAACTGCACCTTCACCTCCAAGTACAGCCAGTGGGCCATGATCACACTGGAGTTTATTGACATGTGAGTGCCCCTGTCCAGCCCTCTCCTTGAGTAGCCTGCCTGCTCACCCAATGCTTCCCATGCACTTGACATGAACATTTGATGTCCACTGCCATATGACAGCTTCAAGTGTGATGAGGCTCACTTCCTTGCAGCCTACCCCAAGGCAGAAGAAGGGCACATGCACCTCCTCCATGCCATCTGTTAGATTTGGCAAGTTGCACATAGCCTGTTCCGAATGCATCCACTCTGGGTCGTGAGAACTATTTTCCGCTTTAGACCCTTTTCTTACTCAACACTATTACTGAATGCGCAAACTAACTCTCCACATCCTTATGTTTATTGTATTTACAGTGTCTCGCACTTATGTGCGAGTCCTCTTGTTATCCACAAAGACCATAGCACATCTCACAATGAGACAATACTTATTGTAAATGGGTTCAACACCCAGTGTTTCACTTCTATTGTTACATTACAGTATTTAGTTCTGCACTGTAGACCCCATCACCTCAGATGTTGTCGCTGTCTGTGTGTGACTGAGGTGAGTACGATATCCTTCTGCTTACTTTACTATGCTTACCACGCACCTAGTTACTTGTATAGGTAAATATATACAGATGTTGTCGCTGTCTGTGTGCGACTGAGTTACTTGTATAGATACTTCTGTAAGGTTATGAGCCCCAAGCTCTAATAGCCTACAAACATCTCACCATCATTTTGATATTCTCGCTGTTAAATCGACCCTCATCTCCCCACAATGACCACTGCTATCCCCATCACCACTGACACACTCCTGGGCAACGTTCTGAAGCTCGATATCAAAGGCGCAAACTGGGCGATCTTCTCCCTTCGCTTCCAGACCGCTGTCGAAGCTAAGGAGCTATGGTCCCACTTCGATGGAACCTCTCTTTGCCCTGCCAGTACGACCTCCACTGATCAGGATGGATTCATGACAGTAGTCCCTCCCGACACTGATGAACTCGCTAAGTGGCAGAAAAGCAAAAATATGGTGAAACATTTACTTACTCAACAGATCCCTGATTCCACTGCCCTTCGGGTGCATAGCCTTAGGCAGCATCGCTGCCATGTGGAATGAGATCATTCGTGAGTACACCTGAGAAGGGAGCTTACACTCAAACAGATCTGTGAATGAAGTTTTTAGGCATGCAATGCCCTGCCAATGGCGACGTCCGCCAATTCCTGGACAATCTGCATATGAAGAGAGATGAGTTGGCAGCCATCGGTGTACAGATTGAAGAAAAGGACTATCGATCGACCATCATCCAATCCTTACCTAAATACCTCGCCAGCTTTGCATCTGGTCAGCTTGCAACCTGCTTGTTTGTACAGCCCAACGCAAACTGTCGACCCCGATATTCTCATCTCCCTTATTATTGAAGAATCAGAAAGACAAAGCTGCAAGGAGATGTGGCACTCACATCCTAAGCAAAGAACCTGTGAAGGCGATGTAGCCTTGGCCATGACCCCTGGAAACTCCTCTAATCAAGGATGAGGGAGTTGGAGAGGTCGAGGAGGAAGCTCCAGAGGGCATGCTCGCCAGCGTGGACCCTGCTGGAACTGCAGGGTCGAGGGAGCACTACAAGTCTCAATGTCCTGATCCTGATAAAAAGAAAGAAGCTACATCCACTGCTACAAATGGATCCACTCACACTGTGACACTTGACTCTGATGAAGAGGTGCACCTTCTCAGGCCCATGCCTTGGATGAGCTGGATGATGAGGTGACTGCTCCCTGATCTATTGAGCATATCCTCAGATGACAATGACGAATATCGGCAACACTTCACCACCTGCTGACAAGGACTGGTTCAATGAGGTGGAGGAAGTGGATGGCGAGGACTCACCTTGCAGAAACAGCTCGAGTCCTGATGAGCCCACTGAAACCTCCCCAGAATTCACAAACCTTGTAAACGACAGCCCTATTAATGCATGTGTCATTGAACTCTATGATTCCGGATCCACTCGTCACATCTCCCCCTACAAGGAGAGATTTGAGGCCCTAACGAGCATACCGCCTAGGTCGTTCTCAGCAGTGAACAAACAACTCTTTAATGCCACAGATATGGGGGAGATGGTCATAGAAGTACCAAACAGGTATGATGTGACTAAATTGAGACTTACAGAGGTGCTATATTCACCCGAGGTAGGATACACCCTCATATCTGTTGGCCACCTTGATCAGCTAGGGTACTCTATCACCTTCGCTGAAGGCACCTGCATCATCAGGAACCCCACTGACGACATTGTTGGACGTGTCCCCAGGTCCAAAGCCGGTCTCTATCGCATCATTCACAACGACGATCGCGACCAAGTGAACTCCATGACTGAAACGATTACCATCATGGAGCTTCACCGAAGGATGGGTCACATATCTCCAACTGCTGCCCGCCACTTAGCTGAAAAGGGACTCGTGTCAGGACTGAAATTTGACTTGTCAAAGGATGAACCGACCTTCTGCAAAGCTTGTGTATATGCGAAGGCTGACCAGAAAGCCTGTCGCAAAGGAATGCATCAGGAGACCTGAGCTACTGAATTTGCAGAAGAAGTGCATACCTGACCTCTGGGGACCTGCACCTGTTGAAAGTCTCAGGAGGATGGCAGTTACTACATCTCGTTCACCGACTGACAAGACACTGACTCACCTATATCCATCTCCTCCATCAGAAAAGTGAAGCTTTCTCGGCCTATAAAGATTTCGAGGCCTGGTGTCGCACCCAACATAACACCTGCATGAAGACTCTTCATTCCGATCGAGGCAGCAAGTACCTAGGAAAAGAATTTGTGATGTACCTCAGGGCAGCTGGTACAAAGCAAAAACTCACTGTACACGATACCCCAGCAGCACAATGGCATCGCTGAGTGCACCTTAACCGCACGTTGCTGGAGAAAGTACGTGCCATGCTACATGAGAGTGGATTACCTTGTGCCCTTTGGGGCGAGGCAGTATGTCACGTCATCTGGTTGAAGAACAGAACCCCCACTAAAGCACTTGATGGAGGAACACCTCTCGAAGCTGCGACTGGGAAGAAACCTGACCTTAGTCTAGCCCACACATGGGGCTCAAACGTCTGGGTACAAATTGAGGGTGGAAGCAAGCTGGGAGGATGCATTGCTGAAGGCCAATGGGTTGGAATAGACAATAACAGCCCCAACGGATGTCACATATACTGGCCTGAAAAGAAGTCAGTCACTGTCGAAAGAAACATGTACTGGGACCCCTCCTCGGCTGAGCTGTTACCTTGCGAGGGGGAGGAAGAAGATGCATACTTACCAAATGCGATGCTAACGTCTACAGCACCCATCGCAGAGATTGCTGCAGCTCCATCACCTCCACCAGTCGCTCCAGCTCAACCCATGCCTCCACTGCATCCAGCCGATCCACCTGTCACGAAATGAATCCGAAAACCCAGCCAGCGCCTCGCAGAGATTCTCGCTGGAAAAGGTAGTACCATCTGTCACAGTACACCTGAAGTACCAAAAGGAGTTCAGTTACCTACCGTTGTCGAGGAACGTTCAAACCCTGTCAGGCTCGAGGGGGAGCAAGAGACTGCTGCAGCCCTACTTCGCATCTATCATTGAAGACTTGGATGACAACCTATGTCGGATTGACCTTGCTATGGCTATGGACTGAGATTACTGCCTGAAAACAGAAGCTCTCGAGCCCAGCTCGCTAGCTGAAGCTTGTCACCATCCTGATTGGCTGCAATGGGAAAATGGAATAAGAGAGGAGTTAGCGATGTTACAGGATGCAGGAACTTGGGAACTCGTCGACTTACCCCCCAGTGCAAATGTTGTAGGTTCAAAATGGGTGTTCCAGGGCCAAGAAGGATGCCTGCAGGAAACATCAGTGCGGCACAAGGCCAGACTTGTTGCCCAGGGGTACTTGCAGGTCGAAGGTGTCAATTACTTCGATATGTTTCGCACCAGTAGCAACTGCTCACAGTCCATCCATGTTGTACTCGTGATGGCTGCTCACTCTGATCTACAACTCCATCAGATAGATATCAAAGGAGCGTACCTAAATGGCACACTCACCAACGACGAAGTCATTTACATGTGCCAGCCTCCCGGATTCGAATCTGCTGATCACCTGCACAAGGTCTGCCGCCTTCACAAAACTTTGTACAGCCTAAAGCAAAGTGGTTGTCGCTGGTACCAGAGGCTAGTTGAGGTATTAGTAGACGAGCTCGGGTTCACCCAGTGTTCTGTCGACCAAGCCATGTACTTCTGACGTCACAACACTGGCAAGCTCATAATCATCGTCGTACACGTTGACAACTGCACTATCACTGCCACACTTTCAAGCGAGATTGATGAGTTCAAAAGGGACATCAGAAAGTACATCGAGATAACTGACCTTGGCAAGCTCCATTGGTTGCTCGGGATAGAGGTCACCAGAAACTGAGATGAACGCACTATCTCACTGTGCCAGCATCCCTACATCGAATCGATCATCCAACGCTTCGGCTTTGATGAGTTAAAACCCATATCAAACCCCATAGAACCTAGCACAAAGCTGCACTCTGGTCAGTCACCCTCCACTGGCACTGAATATGCTGCGATGAAACACATACTGTATCGCAAAGCCATTGGCTCACTGATGTATGCCTCCCTGGGTACCTGTCCTGACATCTCATATGCCATGACCACCGTCTCCCGTTTCTCCGGAAATCCTGGGATTCCCCACTGGGAAGCAGTTAGAAGAATATATCGTTACCTTCTTGGAACCAAGAATTTGAAGTTGACGTATGGTGGGACACCCAATGCGCTTGTAGGATATGCAGACGCAGATGGAAGTATGGTGGAAGACTGCAGAGCGGTCTCAGGGTACGCTTTCTTGATAGATGGTGGTGCCATGTCATGGTCCTCAAAACGACAGGAAATCGTCTCGCTGTCGACAACTGAAAGCGAGTACGTGGCAGCCACCCACGTGGCCAAGGAAGCCTTATGGCTTTGGTCGCTCATCAGAGAGCTGTTTGGGCCACTCGCTGAACCAACCACGTTGTTCTCAGATAATCAATCAGCTATCGCGCTCACCAAAGATCATCAATATCATGCATGCACCAAACATATCGATATCCATTTCCACTTCATCTGCTGGGTCGTTGAAAACGGCAAGATCTGCTTAATCTACTGCCCCACCACCGATATGGTCGCCGACACCCTGACTAAAGCTTTACTGTCGCCCAAGGTGAAGCACTTCGCCGTCGAACTCGGTCTACGTCCTACTTGAGGGGGAGTGTTAGATTTGGCAAGTCACATGTAGCCCATTTCGAACGCATCCGCTCTGGGTCGTGAGAACTATTTTCCGCTTTAGACCCTTTTCTTACTCAACACTATTACTGAACGCACAAACTAACTCTCTGCGTCCTTATGTTTATTGTATTTACAGTGTCTCACTTATGTGCGAGTCCTCTTGTTATCCACAAAGACCATAGTGCGTCTCACAACAAGACAATACTTATTGTAAATGGGTTCAACACCCAGTGTTTCACTTCTATTGTTACATTACAGTATTTAGTTCTGCACTGTAGACCCCATCACCTCAGATGTTGTCACTGTCTGCGTGTGACTGAGGTGAGTATGATATCCTTCTGCTTACTTTACTATGCTTACCGTGCACCTAGTTACTTGTATAGGTAAATATATACAGATGTTGTCGCTGTCTGCGCACGACTGAGTTACTTGTATAGATACTTCTGTAACCATCAACAGGGCACAACAGTGTTGGAGTTTATCACTTTTACCTTAGTTGTGGTTCACTGAGCACAGCATTACATAATCCAAAAGCGGACACTTAGCAGTTTATTTTTTTTCCTTACTGCACCTCAGCTTCAACCAACTTGAAGTCTGAGTATATTCCTCTCTATAGACTTGACAATCCTGCAGCTTGTCATCCTCCAAAAGACATGAGTGCCAGCAGCTGGAGTCGCAGGCCTGAAGCACTGCTGGGCCACCTGCAGTGTCCACTGCTCCCACTTCGCCATTCCATTCCATCAATATTTGACCCCAACCTGTCACATTCGAGCTTCAGAACTGCAATGTAGCCTACCCCCACCTCCTCTAATCACATCCACAGCTCACTCACAGTTGCACTCCCAACCTTCGCTGCTTCCAGCTGTCAGCCCCTACTTGCTCTCCTGCCATCATTTCCTTTGTTCATCTTGTTTCTCCTTCTCCTTCTCCTTCTTCTCCGTTCATTTCTATTCTTCTTCTTTCCTGTTCTTTGCTTTGCCACCCTTGCTTTCTCGCCTGTCCTTTCATGCCTCTTTTCTCATCTAACTTGTCTCACAATTGGTGTGCCCATTAGCACACTCACACTCATGCTTCCTGTCACATCCCGTCCCTCGTTTATGCACTTACTAGCTGCTACTGCTACCCTTTACATTCATGGCCCATGCACGTGCCCGTTAATTGACACAGTTGCACAGTCCCGCACCGCCGCTCCATCCCTTTCCCATTTCGGGCCAAGGAGGCGGGGGGTCAGGGTTAAGGTTAAGGTGACCCCACCTCGTTCGGGAGCCGTCGGCACACGTCGGGTTAGGGTTAAGGTCACGTGACCCGGCATGACCCCACCTGCCTCATGGGGCCGGCACCGCCACTCCACCGCTTGTATATTTTCCGGGATAAGTAAGTAGAACGATAGCGCCGTCCGGATTCCCTTCTACTACAGAGGCCACATGTAACGATGAGTATGATGCACTTATACATGTGAGTGAGCTCTCCTATGTGCCGAACTTTCCCGACTGAATTTGAACCGGAGGCTGTGGGAGGCACATTCGCGTGCGACGAAAAATGACCGGAGGAATGTCTAGTTGCAGTGATCTTGCAAACAAGGTGCCCTGTTTCAGGCTAAAAAATGGATTCGAGACTGGGGGGTAACATGTACTCATTTGTAAGGTGGAGATCATTAACAAGCAACAGGTATTCTTGGTGTGAAGTACGACCCACGAGCACTTCGCTTTAGGGCATGCGAGGAAAAGGAATAGTCATGTGGAGCTTGGTGTTATCAAAGCCCCGAGGTCCGGGGCTTGGGGACTTGGGCTTTCCCGAGAATACTAGTCCTGGCAAGGCTACATAGACATGCCGGCACAGCTACGTAAAACTCATGCGTTATAAAGACGAGACTTAACATGCCTTAAAGAACTCCGTTGCTGGACTTACATTTGATTCCATGCATCGAGAGAGTAAGGCGACCAAAGACATCATCGTCATTGGGGCAGGTTTGTCATCCTCCCAGCACTCAGGCTATTACGCAACATAGCAATTGCCTATGTACCAACACTGATAACTTGCAGGGGTCGTGGGCTTGTCCACCGCCATTAGAATCCAGGAAGAGGGTGGTTGTCGAGTTACGATAGTTGCCGAGACCTTCCCAGCTGACCCAAAGACTATACGATATGCCAGCCACTGGGCCGTAAGTCGCAATGAACAGCGAAATTCGAGTTACTAACACATTTAGCCAGGGTGCACATCATGTCAGTGCGGCTTTTGATGACAAGCGTCAACGAGGTGACCTCTCTTTCCGAAGAGATTTAACAATCGAGATTTAACTGCTGTCTTAGAGATGGATAAGGAGACCTTTGAGATCATGTGGAAAGATTCGGCACATGGCGGACCAATACAAGGATGTTTCTTTCGACATAACCACACGGAATTCAGATCTGACGGAGTGGACCCTACAGAATGGCTTGATTACATGCCAGAAGTGAGTCATTTTGGAGCACTGCTTAATGGTTTTGACGCTATTTCCGCTGTAGTTCAGATCTGTTTCTAACAACGAACTCGTGCCCGGAGCGACACGCGGTTGGACCTTCACTACCTTTACCTTGTACCCACCTGTATACCTCAGCTGGCTCTTGGGCCGCTTCTTAACCAACGGAGGTACGATTGTACGCACACAGTTACAACATATCAGCCAGGCGATGCATGGTGGTATTAGCGGGTTGCCTCAGAAGCCCGATGCTATAGTTGCCTGTGTTGGTCTCGGAGCCCGCTTCCTCGGGGGTATCGAAGACAAGGAAGTCTACCCCGTTCGCGGACAAAGTATCGTTCTAAAAGCGCCATGGGTCAAGTACAGCAGAACACTATCATGTGCGGACGGATCATACTTCTACATGATGCCTAGAGTCACTGGTGATGTGAGTGTGATCCAAAGCTACCACTGGAAGAAGCTAGATAACGTTCCCTTATGTAGGTCCTGGTGGGAGGAATCAAATCGGCAGATGACTGGTAAATCTTCTGCTGGCATGGACGTCTACTTTCGATTATCTCCTTTCTCCTTTGCAGGTTTCCTATTCCTCGAGAGGAAGGCAGAGACTATATATTAGCAGGAGTTCTCGCTATTTGTCCTGAACTTGCATCGCCCAAAATCTGCGCGGAACGGGTACCAACGATAGACGATCTTCGACCTCTTATCGTAGAGGAAGGCTGTGCTCTTCCTCCTAGTAGGAATGGCGGAATCAGACTGGAAACGGAGTGGTTCAAAGCTAGGTCCTCATTCCAAAATTCCCGTTGTGTACAATTATGGGTAAGTCAACTCACCGCTGCTGATCATTCTGAATCCTTAATCTGTACAGGCACGCTGGTATGGGCTTCCAGTCCTCTTGGGGATCGGCATCAATTGCTTTGGATTTATTGAAGGAGGCGCTTGCAAGTGGAGAGCCCAACACCAGTAAGGGAACGAAACAAGGAGCGTGTCCATAGAACGTCAAAGCAAAAGTCTCCCCAGATTTGTAGTCATTCATGTCATATGATGATAGCAAAGCCATTTATCGCGAACCTTCCTTGCCAGGTTATTGGAGGGACACCTGGGGTGTAGAGTACGAAAAGGAGGGCTAATGATACATGATAATACGGTATGTATGCGATCAGCAAACAATACCGAACCAAAACTTCTTCATGATGTATGTCTCTCCATCTTTCGAGAAGTCAGCACGCCCAGCAAATTTTTTCCCTTCAATGAGATGCGGCAACCAACATATGTCATCTGCCCACATCCTGCTGTACGGAATCGAGGGTAAGCCTGTCTTCGTGAGAGAAGACAATCCCAAGCGATCGTCGTTCCCATTAACGCTGTTCTCTGTCAAGGAGAACCATTCCGGTCGCATCTCGTCCGTCCTGTGATAGTTATATGATCGGTTAAAACACGCCCGACTTTGAAGAAAAAATGGGAATAGCCAACTGACTCTGTGGGTATGCCGGTATACGAAAGCGCGGAAAATACGTCGATGTGGAAGGCCCACTCAGTCCCCTCGGTCAAGAAGATTAACGTGCCAGCGTGTTCTAAAGGCGCATCGATGCCAGCCTCTTCCTGTAGTACGAATGTTTGGCAGTCAGTACTTGCGCCGCCGTTTTCGGAATTTTCCATCGCAACGTATGCAACCTCGGTGAACACTTACCTGGAGTTCACGTCTGGCAGCCTCGACTGGCGTTTCACCAGGCTCTACCTTCCCTCCAAAGCCGTTATATCTGGCGGTGGGAGATGAACATGCCAATGTGTAGTCAGTTCAACAAATGTCCAGAATGCAGATCGTACAGGTTAGCTCCAAATCCACGTTTCTTGAAACCGAGCAACAACTATTCAAGACGTCAATGAACCAACGGGATAATATGTCGCCGACAACGACCTCAGTATTTACCTTGTCGTCGCTGATGACGAACGCGTTCGTGTAAAAGCGCGTTTGGGTGTACAGCTGCCAGTTAGTCTCGCACCCACCTTGGACGAACTCTTTCAGACTGCCGTTCAGGCCAGGTGGAAGGACTGTAGCATCCATGTGGTCACTTTGCGAAAGGTGAAAACTAGTCTGAGCAAGCCCCCTACCTCCCCCGCACACGACGACTTCCTCGCTTGCTGAGTCGGCGGCTGAGCAGCCGAAAAACGATTACATACATATTATGTGGCGGTACTATCATCGTTGTCCTCAGCGATTTTCCAACTTCTTGGATCCTGCCATCCTGCAGCCATATTGTGCACAATATCTGATGTCCACTACTTTCATCGTACAGCATTGACATGTACAAGCCGCAAAAGCGAGCATACTTGGTTCTTTGCGTGCGCCGTCATCTGCTTTTGGTCCGGGATATTATCTGTCTGTTGCTTGTTCCAAGATGCACTCTGGGATTTGCGTCATTCAGCTGAGAGTTTCTTGTTGCCTATGCAGTCCTACTTTTGGTCGACAAAGTGAATGACTTTGGTGCAACGATTTCTTGAATCGGAGGTAGGTGTAACATAGTTTTGCATTTCTATACCATTGGTACATGGGATTGATCGCTTCTGGCAGTACAGTGCTGCTTTCTCTGTTGATGTAACAGCTGTTGATTTACACTCACTCGAGCCAAATTATCCTTTTGTGTTTGCTTGCTATCTTCTTGTATCTGGTGTGCACCCGGATCTCGTCCCTTTTCTCTTTGCTTGTCACTGAGAGTCTCTTCATCTCCCTGAATAATTTTTCTTCCCCTTGCTATCGGGCCCCAGCAATGTGACAATATGGCTTATTTTTTCTCTTCAGGGTCAGGCCTTCAAAGTCTGCGAGTGTTACAGTTGTAGGGTTGCTTTTCTCTTGTCCATCATGGTAGGTGCATAGATGAGTTGCATCTTTGAAGTATGACTGATGAATGAGTCTCAGATGCCTTGGAATGCTCGAAATCTTACATACGTACTGGAATGGCAGGTGTTGGGGTATTTGTGCTTGCAAATAATGAGGAAAAATCTTCGTTGATGGGGAGGCACATGGGGACCAGTCAGCAGCAAGGCCAGTAGCATGCACCAACAATTTTTTAATGGCTGGCTGGGTCTACACCATCTTATGCTGTGCTAACAGGTACCAACAGATGCCAACCCACCCAATGCCCAAGTGCCAGAATCAAATAGTGACCCCCTCTTGTTAACATACATACAGGCTTGGGGAGATACAGCCATTTGCACTCTAGCTAATGCTCAGCACTTTTCTTGCTATATGTCTCAGACTTTCCAAGAGCAACATGTTCTTCCACTGGGGCCAAGGTCCATAGGAATGGCTGTACTACAGCAAAGGCTGGAATTGAGATCATCATCATCAAATCTAGTCATTGCCATAGGGCTGCCATCATCCCAGATGGGTCAAGTAGATGCTTTGATGATTTAGCCTACCTGGTGAGAAATCACATAATTCAGTCACTTGTAGTCCTAAAAGTGGGTCATCTGACATGTACATTTTGTCCTGAAACTGGGACTAACTGACATTGGCCAGTGGTCCCTAGGGGTGGGTAGGCTGGACTGTGAAGGTGGGGTCAGCCTATGTCATAAGATGATGGATCAACTGCCCTGGAAGTGGGGTCAGCTGACATGACTATAGGATGGATTGATGACCTGGAAGTGAGGTCAGCCAACACAGCTATGGAATGAATTAGTGACCTGGAAGTGGGGTTGGCCAATGCAGCTACGGGATGAATTAGTGACCTGGAAGTGAGGTTGGCTGATGTGGCTATGGGATGAATTAGTGACCTGGAAGTGAGGTCAGCTGACATGGCTATGGCATGAATTGGTGACCTGGAAGTGGGGTTGGTTGATGCAGCTATGGGATAGATTAGTGTCCTAGAAGTGAGGTCAGCTGATGCAGCTATGAAATGGATTGATGACCTGGAAGTGGGGCCAGCTGACATGGCTGGGGGAGGGGCTGATGTCCTGGCAGTGGGGTCAGCTGATGTGGCTGGGGGAATGAACCATGACCTGGAGTTATGGTTGGGCAGACACTTTGCAAGAAAGACCAATATCTTGATAGTTGGTCAGTGGGGCTGGCCAATCTTATTACTCAGTATGCTACTTCCTTGGTAGTTAGCTGGCTGAACCCACATGGTTGTGGAAAAATCCTATATCCTATCCTTATCCTGTGGTATTGAAGTTAACTCTACCAACTTGGCCATTGTATTGAAATTAACATCGGACAAATTTACTCAGTTGTGTATCAGTACTTAAGGAGGAGTTGTCCTGCAGGAAATTACTTTTTTTTCTGAACATTCAATGTCATATGAAATTTGAAAGCACAAAGCAGGTATTTTTGATTGTAGTACATGCATATCATATGTATCAATGTATGGTATTTTACAAAGATTCCAACAGCTAGGATAATGTTTTGCCCCTTTTCCTGTGTCAGTTTGGTAGCCCCTTTGGACATGCAGATAGTATAGGTTTGGGGAGGCTGAGATGTGCCCTGTGTGTCCTTCCCACAGCCAGGATTCTTGCACTCATAGGAATAAGTTTGCCCTGAACAACCAGCTTCCCACTTCTGAATGCTATAACACTGAGGGCACTGGGCAGGCAATTGTTGTCCCCAGGGCCTGATGAACTTGTCAGTCCAGATGAATTTCTCCACCACTACCTTCTCCTGCCACAACATCAAGGATGATGTTGGAGTGCCTACCCAACATACCACAGTCATTCAGGGCATACCTGACTGCCCTTTGGACATGGAAGCCTTGAACAAGGGTGGAGTCAAGGACACTCATGAGGAAGGGAGTGGTGGTGACTAGTTGAAATCTCTCAGCATCAAAAAGCAACATGGACCTTGGCTTGAAACTGATATGGTATCAGCCATAACCACCAACATTAAAATAAACCTACTGTTGCACAGCTGCCTTCAGTCCTTGGATGCTCTCCTCCTTCCTTACAGTAGAACCACACACAAAGAAGATGAGGTCTCCACCCTTGACAATGTTGGAGAAGGGTAACAGAAGGCCTTGCAGAAACTGCAACTGGTCAGATGGGAGTGACAGTCAAACAATGGTGACTTACCTCAAAGACCTCTGTGGCTATTGGAACCTTATTCTCCATTCCAGAGAACAGATCCCCCCTGTCTTCATTAGTATGGGTAGTAAGGAAAATGACTACCTTAGCAAAGGTAGTCAGACTTGAAGCTAGCTCTGATGTTGCAGTGTCATAGGCAGCTCTGGACTCCTTGGTGGCAAGGTTGAAGGGCAAATCTGAGAAGTGGTAGGTGTCTTGTGTGAAATATCCCTGCAACATGGTGTGAAGGATATGCACAGGGGCATGGCCAAGCTCCAGAGACTCAAGGTGGAGGTGGATAATGGCAGCAGAGTTACCAGCCACTTCAGAAGTGGTGGCATGCTCAAACCCCCCAATGACCACAAGAGGGTGTTTCCAGGACTGGCTTGCCTGACAAGTAGAAGCCCTGTACTTGGAGTTAGAAGTGATTGGGGTGGATATGCACTTACAAAATAGGGCTGAGGACTTTCAAATCTTGTCATTTTCCAATGACAGGCAACACACCTGAAGTTCATTCAGAGTTTGAGTCAATGGAATTAATTCATAAAAGGGAGGTTAATGCACCTGAATGTCACAGGAAGCTGGGTGACCTCTTCAAGGCAATCCTCAGGTACTACAACACACTTGTTACACACTACCCTTCTGCAACCTGCCTGATCACAAGGCCACAATGTCCCTCCATCCCTGCACATCACACAGAACTGCATAGAATGTTAGAAAGATGGATGGAATATAACAACAGACTTGCCAAGTTCCTCATCCTTCTTTTCTTGGCAACAGGGGCCTTCCTAGCATGGGCCTTGCTTGACTTGGCAGCTTGTTTTTCCCTAGCTTGCAGACCAGCAAGAGATACCCTGGGAGCTCTACCTCCAGTGGTCTTCTTAGCTGTCTGCTTGGTCTTCACCATCTTAGTCTAGTATGCCAACATTAGTGAGTGGCAGCAACATGTGACACAGAAGGGAACAGTAGCATACCTTATTATCTTTACAAGACACAAAAGGGGTAGGGGTCAAGCAACAAGATAACAATAAATGCATTTAGGTTGGCACATATATCATGGAGTGGGGATAGATATCTGCATATTTATGGAAAAGACAAGCCAATGTGATCTGATTTATGCAACTACACACAACACTGGGCACTGGATAAGCAGGCCAGAGAGGGGGATGTGTGAGTATCATCTGGACACCATGAAGTAGAAGTCCAACAACATACTGTACCTTATTGGATGAGACACAGCAAGGGAGATGCAGTGTGGCAGGCGGGAGATATGAATTGATAGCCTACTAGTGTGTTTTGTGAGTGGTACAGGGATGCTGGGAACTGGGACAACAAATTTTTTTTGTGGATGACACATGGTGAGAGGGTGTGTTCTGTGAGTGGTACAGGGATGCTGTGAGCTGGGACAACAAACCTTTTTTGTGCATGAGACATGGAAGGAGGGTGTGTTCTGTGAGTGGTACAGGGACACCAAGAGCTGGGATGACAAACCTTTTTTGTGCATGAGACATAGTGAGAGGGGGTGTTTTGGGAGTGGTACAGGGATGCCAGGAACTGGGATGACATGCCTTTTTTGTGCATGAGAAATGGCAAGGGAGTTTTTGTGAGTGCTACAGGGATGCTGGGAACTAGAATGACAAACCTGTTCTGTGGATGAGACAAGATGAGGGGGTGTTCTGTGAGTGGTACAGGGACACTGTGAGCTGGGATGACATACCTTTTTTTTGGATGAGACTCAGTGAGATGGGTTTTGTGAGTGGTACAGGGACACTGAACAATGCACAATAGAAACTGAGAACACTGGCAGTGTCCTAGTGTGTGATGTGAGTGTTATAAAGATGCTGTAAGTGGTGCAATGACATACCTTTTTTGTTTTTTGAAGGGAGATGCAGCATTGCAGGGATGATGTACCTATTGTGTTTAGACAGGGAGAGGTGTGAGAGGTGCTGAGCAAGAGAGTGACATGTGACAATCTTGAGGGAGAGATTATTTCATGGTGTCATGCTAGTGCATTATGTGAGTATTATCCAGACCATGTGATCTAGAGGATGATGACATACCTAAAGTTTTGCTGAGATGCAGTGGTGCCAGAGACTGGGACAGCACAAGGATGGTCTGTGAGGGAGACACTGCATGGCAGGAAGAGAATAGCAAGAGACTGTGTCAATCTGGATACTCAGATGCACAGATCTTAATTTTGGACAGGTAAACACTGTCACATAGTGGGATCTATGATAATCTTGACACAACCTTAATTGTGACATGAACAACATCATGGCTGTCATGATTATCACACCTGTTTACCTGTACTTTGGATGTGTCTCTGGAACATTACATAGTACTATTTATGGAGTGGTCAGTTGGCACTGGGCCAATTTCCAGTTTCAATAAATGGCTACATGTAGTAAATAATCTGGTAGTGCTACTACAATACATTTGCTGTGAAATCCCAAGAGTAGCCACCACTGTTGCTCAGCCAATGGCATGAGTGAGTGCTTGCTTGGCTTGACACTGCAATTACAAGAATGTCAAATGAAAATTTAGTATTTAGTATATAGAAGCCAAATCTGGTGACAGTGGAGTCACATGACATCACTATTCACTACGTATAGTACAACAAGTATTGACTCAGAGGCTGTTGCCAGCACTCATGGCAACTGAACATGCACTGAGGCTGAGAATGTGACATGCATAGAAGCCAAACTTTGACAGCAACCTTGCTAGTTGGACTGTTGCCAAATAATGGCACATAAGACTCAAGTATATAAATCCCCCCCAGTGTTAAGTCTGGTTCATCACTGGTCCAAAGATGGTCTGGAATCCAGTGTGAGTCAAAGTGTAGTTCAGTGGTGGAAACCAACCAAAACCAACACAAAAGACAATGAAAGCGAGTGGTGGTGTGCCTACATGGTACCTAGATGGTGGAACCTTCTATTTGGGTGGGGTTTTGTGAATTACAACACTCAAGGATGAGTGCTGAGGGTTGGGGGTGCTCCTGATGAAGTGGGAGCAAGAATGCAAGAGGATTGCAATGGGGTAGACTGCTGTCAGCCTACAGCAGGATGAATGACAACTTGATTTGATGCCCTAAGCTATTCTGAGCTCAGGGAGGACTTGGAGCAACGTATATTGATGATAGACAATGATAAGCAAAGTAGACAATAGTTAGACCCTTAATAAAGTCTCAACTATCAAAACTGATGAATGATTTACTGAGAGATGATACATAAAATGCAAGCAAGAGGGGCTCTCTGATGTCTTCTTTTTATTTTTATAGCTATCTAAGTACAGTGATTTATACACTACAGGGGCATTGCCTATGGAAAACAAGGTGTAAACACTTGGTAAGTGATTGGTAACTGATAAGTAAGGAATGTAAGCAGTGGGTAATCATCTTAGAAAGCATTGGTGAGCATTGGTAAGGATAAGTAAGCCAGAAAGTGAAGAATCAGTAAGCAAAGGCAAAAGATTGGTAAGTGTTGGCAATAGGTTAGTCAAGGACAGTCAGAATTTCAAAATATGAGTCAAGTAATGTCAGAAAGTGGGAAAGCACACTGGAATCACATTAGGGGGAGACTGTGCATGTCCCATCTCAAAGAGATCACTTCTAGGCCAAGGTGGGATGACAGAGAGGCAGTGCTGGCTCTGATGCTGATACATTACATCCAAAAGTGGACAGGGTGAGTCAGGTGTCAACAGGGGTCAAGCTTTGGGGGTCTGTGGGGTGACAGGAGCATAAGGAATCACAACTTCCACCCCCAACTGTCCTCTCAGTGGAAGCAAATAAAAAACTTCATGAACAAGGCTCTATTGGAAGAGAGGATGAAGGGGCAGCATCTTCTGCTGTATCTTGCAACAAGAAGGCAAGATGTGCATCATACTCATCATGGATGTGATCAGGGAGAGTGGAGAACAATAGATTATACTGTAGCTGTTGCAATTTTGGAAGAATGAAGGATGAGACCAGTATGAAGATGTTGCACAGAGCAGGGAGGAAGGATCCATATGCTTCTTGGAGCAGGGAGACTGAAACAACCACATAAGACCTTTCTAGCTGAATGACAGACTTGAGGCAACCAAAGAACATCCTCCTAGAGGTCATACTGACAAAAGAACATGCCTGTCCAAGCTGGATGGGCTGAGAGGGGGCAGACAAGGATGGGATGTACCAGGATGCTTCAGGACAGAAGCTGGTAGGAACTCCTGGTAGATATACATAGCCATGGTCCCTAGAGAAAGGGACAAGAAAAATGATTGACATGGAGGTGGCCATATCAGAAGAATTAGCAAAATGATCATCTTTTGGAGGGAGTGCTATAGAAATGTGTGGAGTGTGCAGATCCTTCCCAATTTTGGAAGGTAGGATTGCATGGCTGAGCACTATAAGTGAGTGTGGGAATGTTGTTAGTATCTGCAGAAATGGTGGAGATATGTCAAAAACCAAAATGCCATACACAGGTGATTACAGATTTTCATTAGCACATAACTCACTTCCTTGTTTTTTTTTCTTTGGCATTGGTGACTCATTCTTGTGTGAGGGATGACTGCCAACATTTCTGGCTGTCCTTCTTTGCATGAGGGCTATGGTCTTCATCTCCATTCATCAGCTGTATCCATGTCCACATCACCAAACACCTTTGGTGTGTGACATCGACCAGCAAGAAGAAATGCAATTGTCCCCAATTGTGACCAATGCAGGGAACCAGGGAAAACAGAAAAATCTGAATGAGATGGAAAAAAGAATGAGTGAGGATAAAGGTAAGAAATCAAAAGTAAAAGGAGAAATCATGAATAGTCATCTGAGTTGTAGTCATTATTGTCATTGTGTTCTTTGTTTTCCTCATCTTCATCTTCATCATCATTTTCATCATCATTGTTATTGCTGTTACTGCCTTCTTCATCATGGATATTTTTTTCCATAACCTCTGGTAAAGGAGTGTGTTGAGAATAATAGGGAATGAGTTGAAATGCTGTGATTCCTTGAGCAGAAATGGTGCCATCAAGTTCTTTAACAACATAGGAACCTCCCTTGGTGCAATGAACAACCTCATAGGGACCAAGGTAGCAGGGCTTTGATTTATGATCCAGTTCCTTCTCTATCTGAGTGTTGCAAACCAATACCAAGTCTCCTGGCTCATAAGCAGACTTCATCAACTGTAATGCATACCTCTTCTCAAACTGACCCTTGGAGCACAAATGAGACCTCTGCAGAGTGGTGAGAGCAGCATTGATGTCCTCTTGTCTCTTCTCCAACTGATGCATGCAAAGTGCAAGGAGCTCCTGAGAAGTCATTCCAGACTGGAATCCTTCAATGAGATATGTAGACTCAAGGAGATCAAAGGGTAGGACAGGATCAAGACCATGGAGCAGGAAGTAAGGGCTAAATCCAGTGGAGTGATGTGTAGTAACCTTGTCTGTGAAGAAAGCATGATGAACCTTGGAAGGCCAGAGTGAAAGGTCTCCCTTGCAAGCCTTGATGATAGCTTCTCTGATAACAAAGTGTCCATGCTCTACAACTCCATTCACTTTTGAATTATATGGGGAGATGTGAATCTGTGGAATAGAATAGTGCTTCATGAGCTTCTCAAAGGCACCCTTGACCTTGCTGCCATTATCAGTGATAACCTGTGCAATGACACCATAATGACAGAAGATCTCTTCCCAGAAGAACTTAATGAGACTGTCTGCATTAGCATGTTGAAGTGCATGACCTTCTGCAGCAAGGGAAAGATCATCTCAAGCTGCAACAAGATAGTGATATCCACAAGCTTTGGGCATGAGCATGACATCAACATAAACCTTCATAAAGATTCCAGGGGAAGTGGAGATGGTGATGGGAGCCTCTGCCTTATGAGTGCTTCAGATCTGGAAAGAATGGCAAGAATGGACATGATGGGCAACATCTTG